GTGGGTGCTCTGGGCAGTCATTGTGTTACTATGAAGTTTTCCCCAAACATGTGGTCCCCTGGTAACCTGGACCAGACCACACAGTAGAACAACTACATTCTGGCTGGAAGCAACTTCAAGGCTTAGAACCAAGGCAGCAGCTATCTCCATGGTTCTTTTCTTCAGACTAGTACTTTGTCCAATTAAGAAGACAGAGGTTAGAGTAAGCACGGAAAGAAATAAGCGGTTCAGAGGGAACCTTGGATAAGGGAATGTGCTCTTCTACCCTTCTTGTCACATCAGTAACTCGAATGACCAGGAATCCCATGAAACAAGTTTTGGCCAGTGTTCCTAAAACACTGTCTAAAGAGAAACAGCCAGAACGGAATGTTGATGGTTCCAAAGGCACTTTACAGAACAAAGAGCAAATCATCAAGTGACAGTATTGCATCGCAACATCTGTGTTTACTGACCACACAGCATCCTCTGTGTGCCAGCCTCCTTAACGGGTTCCAGGGATACATGAATGGAAACACTCCTGCCCTCAAGTTGTCTGTGTTATTTGAGAAGACGGACATTCTAACCTTATCGTGTGGAAGCTGACACAACTCAGAACTATGTCAACCACGCAACACAAGGGTCACTCTCATGTCTGGAATAATAGATTGGGAGCAAAATTTGGAATCATTTTTATCACAGATCTGGCCATTTGGCTCTACTACACACTGCACTGGGAGGTTTCATCTTACTAAGCCAACAACTGCCGAGTAGCAAGATAGAAGGATCAAGGCAACGGCAGAAATCTTCGTGAATAAGAGTCGACCCCTACCACACACACATTATGGAGTGACTCAGCACGGTTTCACTGCCTGGCTGTCTATATAAGGAGCTCTGCTGTTATCACTCACTAGAATTCCTCTTAGGTACTGTTATCAATACCAACCCTTCCAAGTCCCAGAAATAATTAATGATGAGTCTTAAACATAGCCATGATAGACCATTTGCTAATAATTTGGGAGTACCTGTGGATGATCAAATTCGTGATTTTGATTTTCTGGACACATACAATATAAGGTAGATCAAAACTAGGTTACTTGAAGAGCCTCATCTATAATCCACCTCATCTCTTCCGTCTGCATTCAAACTGATAAGGCAGGTCCCGTTCATTTCTCCTACTGCTTCCCTCTTCCTGTGCGGGGCTAGAGGCTAGCCAGGTGGACCTCTCCTTTTCCTTCCAGCGTTCAAAGCCTAAAGCTTTCTAATCACATTATTGCCCAGGGGATGTGGAAATGGGGAGTGGAGGCTACTTTGTGATGCCCTCTACCATGATACAGTCTCAGGCAGCGGCGCTGACATCCACAGGCGGATCCACTTGGACTGAATCTCTTTACAAGGCCACTAGTCTTTTCTTTCTGTAATAATAAGGGTGGCTAGTCTTGACCTTGTGGCTCTGTGGACAGGGTCCTGCTGATGATTCCTCTAAGTCAAGATGCACGCTGCTCTTCCAAAATTTGTTTTCACTGAATTATACAGACAATGTCAGTATGTTTTGTAAGAAAGAAAGAAAAGAAAGGGGTGTGGGAGTAGACTCAAATCCGACTTGTTCTGAAGTAGAGAGGGTGCACTTGGAACTGAATCTGAATGAGGAGGAGCAAGAAGATCAGAGGGTTCTTTTTCTTTCTTTCTTTCTTTCTTTCTTTCTTTCTTTCTTTCTTTCTTTCTTTCTTCTTTTTTTTGTTTTTTTGAGACAGGATTTCTCTGTATTGTTTTAGAGGCTGTCCTGGAACTCGTTCTTGTAGACCAGGCCTGTCTCTGCTTCCCGAGTGCTGGGATTAAAGGCATACACCACCAATGCCCGGCGAACAGAGGGTTCTTTAGCCTCCAGGAAATTAGCTTAGCAGACAGCACAGAGAGTCCTCTAATGTATCCAACCCAGGTGTATAATCAGAACAGCCCTAAGAGCTATCAGCCTAATGAAAGTGGGTCAGAGAACCAGGAGGAATTAGTGGCAAGTGTGACTCCAACTTTCTCCAAACTTGTATCACCTAGCCACTTCATCTAACCATTTGGGCTTCGGGTGCTTGTGCAAAATGAGAAAACAAACTGCCTTTGAGGCACTGGGACTTGGACTGAGTGGAAAGTACCTGGCAGGCAGGCTCTGGGTAAGGCCTGTGGTGATGACATGCTTCCACACCAGTCTTTCTGAAGTACAGGCTCTTGACAGATCCTCAAGCAACTAAAAGCCAAACAACTTGAAGTTTGCTTATTTCCATCCCTAAAATGATTGCCTGTGCCTAGTTGCCTCTCTTAGATTTTCTCTGAGCTGCGTTCCTGACTGGGGTGTACTGCAAGGCACGAACGGCAGCTTATCTGGCCGCTGGGAGTGTGGAATAAGCCCTTAGCGGTCCCTGGTGTTAAAGGGCTTGGCTTATCTCCTATGGTGGCAGAGCGCCCTGCATCCTTGTCACTGCTCTCTGTGCTGTCGCTCGGTGCAGCTGTCAAACACCTCTAGTGTGGGAAGAGCACCCTGATGGGCTGTCCATTTCACTCCCAGGATATCCTAGATCAGTGGGCATTTTCATTTTTAGCATATTTTTACTTAAAAAGCATACTTGAAAAATGAGTGTTTGCTCTAAGAACAGCAAAAGTATCTTTTAAACTACAGGTAATGAAACCTCCTGTCACATGTGAAGGTTGCCTCATCGTAGGCTGTGCGTGCGCTTCTGGAAGGATGGCAAGCATAGTCAACAGGGAGGGTCCCGCTCACTGTCCCAAGGGACATCCTCCCTGTCAGAGGTTTGGAGTTCTTGTGCACCTTTTTCTCTAAAGGTGACCTTTCTTTTCTTCGTTTTCTAAGCCGACTGGGAAAATCATTCCTGTCTTTGCTCTCCTCTATGGTTGAAGTGGCCTCAGATGTGAGGGCAAAAGGGACTTCTCCAGAGTATTCAAAATTTCTCTTTTATAAAAATCATCCACCAATCTGAATTTGATATTTTTGTGTAAAGAATGACATAGACAATCGATATTTCCAGTAAGTGATCCCTTGTCGTTTATGAAATGTTTGTTGTTTCCTCATTGAGCCATGATATCAGCTACTTTTTAACTAATTTTCTTATTTGTGAATCTTTTCCTAGGCTCTTTCTGTATTTTGATCTATTCCTTCAATGTGAGGCTGTTATTAATGTCATTGAGTTTTGATAGATATTAATGTTTGGCACAAGTCTCCCATCTAATTTTCCCATATCTACACAGCTCTGTGTGAGTGTGTGTAAGAGTGTGTGTGTCTGTGTGTGCTTCTGTGTGTGTGTGAAGATAACTGGGTGCTTGTTCTGGTCAGCACATGATACAGGAACCTCAGGTTAAGACTAACCAGGGTAGAGTGGGCCACGACTTTAGGACACACTTGTTTGTGGGCCTGCTCAGGTGCAATCTATTTCTAATCCGCAGTTGCCATTTTGCTACAAAAGCAGAAATATTGATCAAACATTGGATTTCAATCAACTACCAGACAAGTGGACAATGAGCAGCTAAGAAGATAAGACTCTTCCTAAGACAACTCAGAAAGAACGAGGAAGGAGGCGATAGAATCAAAAGGTGATTAGAAGCTTAGGGAACCAGTAAGAATGGTAAATGGGGATACTATAGCTGGCCTATTAGAAAAAGTGTAGAAAAACCTAACCAAGAAGCTAAGACGGTATCTTAGTGTCCTCAGAACGAACCGAAGGCTGCCTGTATAGTTGCATAGGGAACAAACCGAGCAAGGAGAAGAGATTCCATTATAATTGTCCCTGCAGGAAATCACCCCTTGGAGCTGTCTACAGAGCCACTGTGACAGCACTATGACTCCTGCTACCACCAATTAGTGTGGACTGTATGGTCAGCCTGGCTTATTATTCCTAAAGTGGACACACAATCAATTATACCAGCCCCGCCACCCCCTTACCAAAATACTTGGCATTTTTTATCTGTTTAGTAATGCTATTGGCAAAGCTGATAGAGTTTTGGACTTAGTCTTAGAGGTGAACTTGACAGAGATCTTGGTCATGTATATATCTGGTACCACAAGCATAGGACCCGAATCCACACCTAGCTACCTGCCTTCTCATTGCCTACCCAAGGCTGGGCTAGAGTCAAGTGGCTATCACCCCCAATTCCTGTTCTAGTGGAATCTTGGTTACAAAGTTGGTCAGTTTCTATTCCACAGTAATCAGAAGGCCTGGGCTTCACCTGGGGCTTCCCAACTGCACACACAGTTCAGTGACTTCTGACCAACTATGACTTCAGGAGTCCACACACACGACAGGAATGAAAACGGAGTTATTAGATGAGACACATATGATTTTGCAAAGCTCCTCACAATGCTACACTCCAAACCTCATTATGATCAGGCGCTGGCTTTACTTCAGCCTGATCAAGTCTGTAGGAAAATGACTGTGACTTTTAGTCTTTCCTTTTTCTAGAAGCAAACCCTTCAAATTTTGTTTCTGAGTCATTTACATCTACTTAACTTGAAGTCTTTGGATATTTAGTCCATCTTTAGACATGAAAGCCCCTATCATTTGAATCAATACGCATTCTGTTGATTTTTAATATCTGCCATACACACGTGCAAAACTGAATCTCATAAGGCCAGAATCCAGACATTCCTAGCAAAAGGAAGTCAAGTGAGAGAAAGAGTAGCAGAGCCTTTGTGAAGAGAAAATTGTCTTATCCTTCACCAGTGTCAGAATGTGGAAGTGTTTACAAAATGCTCATTAAAAGCAAGAGGGGTTGCAAGATAAAAATGAAATCTGGTGTACAAGTTTACACTAGGGAGATAAGAAGAGGCTAGGCCCTATAGGGGATTTTGCTATTCAATTACTGCAACCTGACTTTTGGTGGGGGGTGGGGAATAGTGCAGGGGGAGGGGAAGAGAGAGGAAGAGTTTCCATACTTGTGTCGTGTCCAGTGACATAAGACATTTACACTCCACAAGATAAAACTGCCACTTAGAGCCCAGAGGAGTTAAGCCTTCCTAGGTTGAGCTGGGGAGCTGAGCAGAGTCATGGGTTCTCTGGTCCTGCAGCTGAGCGCTGTCTTCTGCCTGATGGCTCGCTCGGTTTCTGGCAGCCCCATCATGGGCCTTGAGCAGTCTCCCCTGGAAGAAGACATGCCCTTCTTCGATGATGTCTTCACGGAGCAAGACGGTATGGACTTCAATACACTGCTGCAGAGTATGAAAGACGAGTTTCTCAAGACATTGAACCTGTCCGACATTCCCCAGCAGGACACAGCCAAAGTGGATCCGCCAGAGTACATGCTAGAACTCTACAACAAATTCGCCACGGACCGGACCTCCATGCCATCTGCTAACATCATCCGGAGCTTCAAGAATGAAGGTAAGCTGGCTTGTGTTTTCACCTATGAGACGTTGGCTTTGCTTTTTCTCAAGAAGCAGTTAGTAAACATCTATGTGGAGATGATATAGGAGAGAACGAATTCATGGAAATGCGTGGTTCAGACACAGAACAGCAACTGTTCCACCTGGCCATTCTAGAATTCAAAAATGCTATAAAATGTCTATTTAGGAAAAAAACCACAAAATGCCCATGGTTCATTCTGGCATCAGAACTGGTTCTTGATAGTGTTTTAATCTGGACACTGAGTATATAAAAAACAAAACAAAACAAAACAAAAACGTAAATGTTGATCTGTTGCTCTATCTTGTCTGCTACTTTCTAGACAGGACTTGATTTCTATCTGGGGTTGATAAAAATTTGTCAGCTTTTCCTTAGATCAAAAATGGTGAAAACAATAAAAAGAAATTAGAAATGTGGGGTTTGTGGTTCATCCAAATTCTGGGTTAGTTTCTATCAAACTCTGAGTAAGTTTCCAATTGTGACTTCATTTAAGTAGTGTTCTGATAGAATGGTACTGTATTTATGAGATTCTTCTAATGCTTCTTTGTGTTTAATGAGCCATGATAAGACCCCAGGAAGTGCACAGAACACAGCTAACAGTTCATCTTGTTGTGACTGTGTCTTCATGACAAGTGATGTACAAATTTCAAATTGTTATTCCTACACTTCAGATCTTTAAATGAGTCAGCAAGCTAACCCTACAGTCATATGGTACTTGTAGAAAGAATATGATATTGATGATAGAGGCTGTGGATATAGAGAAACTGGTTCTTTCTTATTTACCAATTGTGCTTTTGTAGACACTGGGTGAGTGAAAATGAGGTTTGGTCAAGGTTTGCCAGACACTCTTGGAAGCAGAAGGCAGTGGCTTGAAACATCTCTGGACTGCTGAGAGCTAGCCGCCTTGGGAAGATGTGACTAAGAGATGGGAGTCCAAATTTCCCACTGTAAACAGAAACTGTGTGACAGATGAGTGAATCACAGCAGTTAGAGGCAAGAGAGGGCTTGTTGTTAGGGAGTGCTAGGCAAACCATGATGACTTTTAATGAATTACTTAATACTCTAGGTGCTAGAGTAAACACTGAATGGTTATTCCTCTGACACCAAGATAGTATTTGCTTTTAAAATTCAACTAATCACCACCATTTCTATTTACTAATATTTCTGGTGGAAACTGCAAGCAGAGATTCCAGATTCCTTTGAAGGCAAGTCTAAGAGGGAAAGAGCAACCTCCTGAAGGAGCTTGTCTCAGCATCTTCCTCTGAGCCATGATTCAGCTTAGGCAAGGTGGGAATGCAGTCTAGCTCAGGCAGAGGGGGAATGCGGTCTAGCTCAGGCACAGTGGGAATGCGGTCTAGCTCAGGCACAGGGGGAATGCGGTCTAACTCAGGCACAGGGAGTATGTGTTCTAGCTCAGGTACAGAGGGGATGCGGTCTAGCTCAGGCTTGGTGGGAATAAATTATTCCACTTTTATTTCTTGCTTCTCACGTGGAAGATCAGGTGATAAGGGTGAGAATGTGAGCAAGCTTACCACTACGAGAGATCTATGGGGGAGGATCAGTCTTGGGGACACCTAGTCATCCACCCCTTTGCACTTCTGTCAGAGGAAGACTCATATAGCAGAGGGTATGCATCCCCCTCACCAGACTTGCCCTGCTGGCTGCTGTCATCCATCTGTACACCTTTTGTGTTTGCTCAGTGACATGACCTAGGAGGCAAAGACCAAGAAGACGCCAAACCTAAATCATCTTTGAATGGGTGTCACATGCAAGGTGGAAAATGTGGCTTCAATTCTCAGCCTGACTTCATCCTCTGTATTGTCTAGGAAGTCAGATCTATACATGGTGGTTTGGCGTCTTCCGATGCAGAACTAGCATCAGGTCCATCTATGCATTGTGGGTGTCATTATGACAGTCACACAATTTGCAGAGCAATTGACATGGGAAATCTGTCAGACTTCATTCTCTTGCTCCAAAATGTGACTCTTCTATGAATCTCTTATCACGTATGCAAAAACTGTGTATGGTTTTATTTAGTTAAGGGGTGTGTGTATGTGTGTATGTGTGTTTTGTCTTGTTTTAAACTGGCTTTGAACTCACCACATGTAGCCCAGGCTGGTCTTGAAATACATTTAGATTTTAAAAACTGTAAACTATTAATTTCTTTTGAGACAATATTTTACTATGTATCCCCGGTTGGGCTCAAAATCACAATCCTCCTGTCTCAACCTCTTGAATGTTAGCTTATTTTTTAAAAGCACATCTTCCTTGTTGTATAGCTGATATATAGGGAATCTGCATGTATTTAATGTGCATAATGTAAGAGTTTACATGTGTAAACGTCCACTGAGACCCCAACCTCAGGGAGCATACATATCCTCCAAAGCTTCTCCTTCCAGAAAGCACTCTCTGTACTTCTCTCACGGAGGAGCAATAGCCTGCTCTTCCCATTTTTGGTCTTCCAAGACGGCAAGTGCACAGGTGACCCCTATTGGGATGAACTTCCAGAGAGAGACTCAAAGGAGCCAAGGTCTCCAGGGGGGCCAAAGATGGAGAAGCAGAAGTGGTGTAGGAGGGCTTTCCAGAAGAAGGCCCTCAGAGGTACAGAATACAGAGAACGCTGCACCGCTTTTGGTTTTGTTTTTCCAAGTGGGAAAGCTATCCACCAAATAGGATAAAGTATTCATTCAACTGATCAATCCATTAGGCAACTGCAGCATTCTGTGTACTTTGTCAGGGCAAACTTTAAGCCTTTTGAGAGTGAGTATAAAGCCATCAGCTAGAGAAGAGTGCTGAGATAGTGTGGGCCAGAGATTCCACTGAGATCACCAACTGGGTATACAGTTGGGGAAAGTTTGCCTAGGAGAATAGAGGACCCTCAGTTGCAAGTCCCTAGTATCTTGGTGTCACAATCCTTGCATACTCTGACATCAAATGTCTCAGTCCTTGTAGAGATAAACTGCCTGAGGTGAGTACACAGGAGCTCTTGGTTCTCTGTGAAATTCTCACATAAAAAGATATTATCAGGCCTGGCATGGTGACACATTACAGCAAAGTGTCTCAGGGAGCAGAGATCTAGAAGACTCTGCAAGTTATAGGGCAGCCTGCTCTACACAGTGAATGACACGCCAACCAGGGCCACACCAGATCTTGTAAAAAAAAGAAAAGCAATATGGAATCATTTGGAGGCATATTTCTGATACTAAAGAACCTTTAACAAGCTATTTCATATAGATCTCTGGTGGTTTGTGTGTGTCCAACTCCATGCTGGCTGCTAGTGAATAGCAGGAAGGCAATCCATCTACCCCCAAGGTGCATCTTCTCTCACTCACTGGGGACAGCCACATGCGCCAGAACCAGTTTAGCAAGGTTCTGCTGACCTTGCTGAACTTTGTTACGTGGGTAGGGACAGGGTCAGCAAACTTCCTCCGTAAAGGCCAGATAGTCCATATCTAATTCCGCCTCTGCAGGGCAAAATTAGCCAGATATGATCCGGCAATACACGAAGGGGTCTGTGCTCTGGTGAAACTTTATTTCCAACAACATATGACAGCCCCAGTTTGGCCCGTGTGTGTCACAATCCTGGTCTGTGGAGATCTTCCATGAAGACCAGTGGCCAGTCAACCACATGGAGAACACTGCCCATCACACACATAAGCTTCAAAGTCTTTAGTTCAGAGCAATCTCCATGATTCATTTCATGGCTCATGGCTGGCTGGACAAAGAGGGCTTCTCTGCAGTGCCCAGGTTCTTTCCAGTTCTGTCCCCGCGAGGTAGCTCAGGCTGGGCATGTTTTCTTTCCTCTTACTTCACAAATAAGCCCTTGCTTTATTTTGTAGTATATCTAGTGAGTCTGATTTGTCATAAATATTTTTCTTTTTTAGATCTGTTTTCTCAACCGGTCAGTTTTAATGGGGTCCGGAAATACCCTCTCCTCTTCAATGTGTCCATCCCGCACCATGAGGAGGTCATCATGGCTGAACTCAGGTTGTACACACTGGTACAAAGAGATCGTGTGATGTATGATGGTGTGGACCGGAAGATCACCATCTTTGAAGTACTGGAGAATGTCGAGGGTGGCAAGGATGAAAGGAGCATGCTGGTCTTAGTGTCAACAGAGATCTATGGAATCAGCAGTGAGTGGGAGACATTCGATGTCACGGATGCCACCAGACGGTGGCAAAAGTCAGGCCCATCTACCCATCAGCTGGAGATCCACATCCAGAGCACACAAAACCAAGCTGAGGACACTGGAAGGGGACAACTGGAAATAGATATCAGTGCCCAGAATAAACACGACCCTTTGCTTGTTGTGTTTTCTGACGACCAAAGCAATGACAAGGAGGACAAAGAGGAACTGAGTGAAATGATTACTCACGAGCAGGATCTGGACCTGGACCTGGACATGGATGGTTTTTCCAGCAGGCCTGATGAAGAGGCCTTGCTGCAGATGAGGTCTAACATGATTGATGACTCTACTGCTCGAATCAGAAGGAATGCCAAGGGAAACTACTGCAAGAAGTCCTCACTCTACATTGACTTCAAGGAGATTGGTTGGGACTCCTGGATCATCGCACCACCTGGGTATGAAGCCTATGAATGCCGTGGTGTCTGTAACTACCCTCTGGCAGAGCACCTCACACCCACAAAACATGCTATTATCCAGTCTTTAGTCCACCTCAAGAATTCCCAGAAGGCTTCCAAAGCCTGCTGTGTGCCCACGAAGCTGGATCCTATCTCCATTCTCTATTTAGATAAAGGTGTTGTCACCTACAAGTTTAAATATGAAGGAATGGCTGTGTCTGAATGTGGCTGTAGATAGGAGTCCCATGGCTTATTTAATAACTGCAAATGTGTATATTTTGTGTTTTATTTAATGAAACTATTTAATGAAGGTGTACAGATAATAGAGGTTGCCACCATAGGGAAGTGGACAGGTCAGTGTGCTGTAGAAAATTCATATTTTGCTATACAATCCAGTCCCTTCCACTTATTTTCTTTGGACTCTCATTTCCCAGTGATACCATCTCTAACAACAAAACACAGGCCCGTACCACTTATCCTCTATGTCATTTTGGAAAGAGCAGTCTCTAAAAGGAAATAGTGTCAATACATTTGTGCATGTCCATGCAGGTGCACATGGACTTATGGAAATCATTTTGTCCAACAGAGGTAGACTATATTGATACATGTGAGTGGCTTCCTCCAGGGTATAGGATTTGGGATAAGAAAGTTCATATCAGGAGTTTAACCTAGAGAAGCATATTTTCCAAATGTTCTGGGAATGTGAACATAGTTCTTTTCAGTTGTATCTGCCATGGTTCAGAGCAGCAGGCTGGATGAGCAAGCTGCAGGCTCAAGAGGAGAGTGGCGTTGTCAGATACATGAAGTAAATGGCCCTGACAGGCAATGGTCCCAGAGATGCACTTGCAAAGAATGGGCCCCTGAGCCATGTACTCCAAAGGACAGTGCCTGATCAAGTAATATGAGGGTAGGGGAATGTCAGGACTGACTCCCCCTCAGTCAACAGGAGCAAGGCCACATGTGCCAGCCTTTACTGCCATATAGAGCTATGGAGGTGGTGGTGGGGGCACAGATGCTGTCCTCAGGTGTGATGGTAAAATAATCACAATTCGAATGGAATAGCTAAATCTTTTGGAACAAAATAAAATGATCCAAGACTAAGAGGACTATGGAAAGGGAGCTATTTGATGGACTCTACCGAACATAGTCTTCATTTTCTGACTTCCCTCTCTTGCTGGCCACCTCTGATTTCTCTCACCTTCTTTCCTTTGTTGAACTTCCTGTCCATCATGCCTCTTGCTTTCTCTCCCTTCATCACCCATGACCTGGGCTGGAAGGAGGCACTTGAAAGCATTTTCACTCAGTGTGAAATCAGTTAGTGATCTGATTTCTAGACTTATTCTGGAAATTTAACCTGACTCGATTTTAGCTATATCCTTTCAGGTATGATTTTTGTGAAGAACACAGAATAGAAGAAGACTAGAGTTGGAGCAAATACATTCAAACCCATGAATTAGTAGACTCATAAGCAGGTGACTCAAATGTGGAGCTTAAACTTAGAAATCAGCCTTGGTCTTGGAAGGAACCCTGTAGCATTTCCATTCTTCCCACTCTGCTCTCCTTGCAGTTTGAAACTATTGTCCAACCCTGCCCTATTGGTTATAGATATTAATTTCAAACTACCTATCAACTTCCTTTCCATAAACTTCTTTGGGTTATACATTCAGATTGTTCTCTCAAGGAAAGGTATTTTCTGAATTTGAACTTCAGCTCCGGATATCTAGTTGGTCAAAATGCAACTCTCAGAGAAGTTGTTGCCCTGGAACAACTTCTTTGATCCTAAGTGGGAGCACAGTGAGGGACATTGAATTGGCTGAGATGGATATTCAACTAAGAAGCATCCACATAGCCTCTTTGTAACATCATATGTTTGAGCACATGCATAAATCTGTATACATACAGCTGGCACTGAATAGCCATGCCAGCATCTCCTGAAGAAATGGTACAGCCTTCATACTCTATGGTACACCACACATACTCATACTCCACGGTACTGCCGGTCCTTTTTTCTCAAGGACACTATCATAGACATTTATAAAATCTCAGCTTGGCAGAAATAGTTTCTTCTTAGGTTCTAGTCATGGCTCTAGAACCAGACTAGGGCAGATAGAAGCTCAGCTTTGTGATTTCAATAGTTTAGATGTGTCATGTGATGCCGAATGACTTGCAAACTCCAGGAAAACATGACAGCCAGAGCTGGGAAAGTGCATGCTCTCTGGCCATAGAACACCACTGACATTAACATCTGATACGAGAGGTGTCAGCTCTTGTATCCCACCATGCTCACTGCTGCTCACCCAATCAGCTCCTCAAGAGACTTAGCTGAGCTATTGAAGAGAGGTGACAGTTGAGACTTGTCTGCATATCTTACATGCTGCTCCATTTGCTAGAGTGCAATTATGAGCTGTATTTTTCATGATGGTCTTCTTGTAGAAAGGTTGAATAGTCACATATTGGATATTCAGGTGTTTCTGTTTTCATTATTGTTATGAATTTTGCTGCCTTATCAGAAAGTGAAATGACAAAAGCCATAAATAGAAGCATTCTTCTTGCTTCTCCCAGCAGCTGCGTGCAGCCTGTCTACTTCATTGCCTTAACCTGAAGCCACAGAATGGGTAGGCTATCAGGAAATTAAAACTTTCTATGATGACAAATCGTTCACTATGGCCAGCCCATACCAGTCTTGCTTTATTTTTATTTCTTATGCTTCGATGGCAAAAGCTGATAAACCTAATATCTCTTGAGGGAAACTCTAGCAGGGGCACTTGGGCATCCCAGCATCAGAACGACCATGTAAAAGTTTCTAGGCTTCTTACTATTTATTGATCGTTATATTTATTTTTGTAATATAGTGTAGAATATTGAATATTTTATTTTTGTGTGTGTGACTCCCTCTTAAAAGAATAGCTTTCCTTGCAGCCCATAGTGTACCCTGCCCAGGGTTTAGCTCAATTAGAATAGAAAAGTGTGTATGTTGCCCTCTGCTTTTTGCATCAAACTTATTTTAAGGGATCTGCCCATAGCTTTGTGTGTTTGTGTCTTGTGGGCAAGCTGTGAGCCCCTCCCTGTATCTGCTGATTTGTAAATAGCAGACTTAAAACTGAAGTGCAGACGTTTCCAAATATATTTTATCAGTAAATGGTATGCCATCCCCTAAATCAACCTGACCATTTCATCACAAGAGAGAAACATGGTCAGCCATAAGCAAACAATTATTAATCTGTAAACGGAAGTGGCATTTCATTGGACCCCCCAAAATAGGGCCCTTTTTTTTCTAAAAATATCCATTACCTACCTGAACCACCAACTCAAACACACAATTGTACCAAAAAAAGCCAAGGGCATTAAAGTAGTGATTCATCCAAACTAACCTTCTACAGCCTGCCCTTTCCCAGTGTGAAACATTTAGTCTGGAAACTTAATGATGAAATACTTTTTTAAAATGGTTGCTAGAGTTTTATCATCTTTTTATAGTTTATATTCTTCCAATGAAAGGTATGCTCATATGAAGGAATTTATCTCTCAAGTTTTACCAAATTCATAAGGTGCAGCAGTGTTTAGGTGAAACTTTTTGTCATTCATTTGCAGTGTAGCCTGTTTGAGTCATTGAGCTTCAAACCTGCCCACTTAATCCCCTCCACAACCCTGTAAGCTCATGTGTGGTGGAAAAGGAACACTGGGTTCCTGTGTGTCTTCTTGTTCCCAAAGACATTTGACTTTACACATTTAGTGAAAGGGGGAAAGCTAACCTTGTACCATATCAGCCCAAAAACGATGTTTCCACGCAGGGAAACATATCTGCATGGAAACACCGCTTGGAGAATGACCATTTGCGGTAATCAGTTCATTTCTATCTCACATGTGCACTGGTGTTTGTGAGCTACTTGCCTAGTTGCCGTGTGGGAATTGATGCTAGCTCTCATCCAGCAGGCTTGGGGGCATCCAGGAAATTAGTTGATTCCTGGACACACTGAATCAGCTAAGCACAGCCATGTTCTTTGGTAAAGCAAGTTCATTGTTCATGTTCAGATATACTGACATGTTCAGATATACTGACTTCATGTTCAGAAGTCAGACAAAAAGGAAGATGGAATAAATATTTTACACTCTGTTCATTAAACAAATGTGTATATTAGAGTCATCCTGTTAAATAAAATGGAAAAATTATTTTGACAATAACCTTTGGCAGTTTTTTTTAAGATGCAATCTCGCCCTCTTTTCTACCCTCCTCTTTTTATATTTCCATATCACAGTACACCCAGATGGAAGAAAACTTCTTGCTTAATCAGTGGAAAATAATTTGAAGGGACAATAAACTGCACTGAGCTCCTGTTTTTATGTTTTCTTCTCATCGCACATGACTCTTGTAAACTCCAGGAATACTAGCAGCAGATAAGGAAAATGGATTGGCCCCTCTTTGCTAATAACTGGAACCTATTTCTTTGAATCCTGATTGTATTATATTAAAGAGAATTAATTTGGAAAGTATTTAGGTTAAATTTGATTGACCTTTCATTACTGAAGGTCACATGATATCAAATTTAAAAGGGGATCCTTATGGCTGCCTAGTGTGTCCTGCCCTCAAATGTTAGTTATAAGATGGGTGTCCTGATTTCTTAGGGAACTCTACTGCTGTTCTGTGCTCAGTTTAACAGGTAGTTTGGGTCACTTTGTGTAAAAGCCACTAGGGAAGCACAGAGGATCTCTAGAGCCCCAGGAAATACACGGGGAGGATTTGAGCATGTGAGACATGTGGCTCCGTTATGCACGAAAGCATGCTGAAGAATGGTGAGTGTTCTGGAAGGAAGTTCATTCCTGTGGCAGCACGCTGGGCTTGAAGGGCAGGGAGACAGCCTATGGAAGAACACGCTTCCTCCCTTCAGACCTTCTTCTGCCTCTCTCCAGTGGACTCCAGCCTCCTGGCTGGCAGGACACATCCAGCAGGTGTGATAGGGAGCACAGCCCTTGTCCTTGGATGAGCACTGACAAGGTGAGGCAGAGTTCAGTCCTTGAGGGGAGAGAGCAGAGTCCTCCTCAAGGACTTGGGCCAGGCCTGGACTAAAGGGGCTAGAGAAGCTGTCCCCATGACACAGCTTTGAATTCTTTAGCAGCCTACCCATTCTTCTGTAAATAATTCCACTTATAGATGCTGCTCCTGCTGTGAGGCCTGGGGCTTTTCTCCACATGTGGTCTGACCTGGGCAAGGCCGCTCTGATTGGCTACGTCATTCTGGCTGGCTTTGTTTTTTAAATTGAAGCAACTGGGATGCACTGGGCAGAGCAGAGGGGCAAGTAATTTTAGGAGATAGCATATAGTAAAAGGTGAGAAAATTATGTTCAGAGCTCACATGTACATGTATATATTATATTATATTATATTATATTATATTATATTAAAATCCTAAGAATGAACTTGTATGAACTGATCTTTGTGATGTTGAGAGAAGAAGATGTGGGACCCCAGCTATGTGACAAGAGCCCACTTTTGCACCAAAGTGGCTGTTTGTAAATAAGGGGTATATTTGGAGGTGAGAGCTTGTTAACTTGGTGGTTATAAATGGATTATGTGATTATCTTGGACTCTGTCTCCTCAACTGTGGGCTTAAAGAGCGGCTCCTGCCATCTCTTGCCCTCCCTCTGGCTGTCCACACAGACCTCCAGTATCTCATCCACCCCGAGAAAGCTGGGAAATGCATGGGCACACAACCTAGTTTTGCCAGGAAACGAGATTCTTAAAGTCTGACAACAGTTTAGACCACTTAGCTGAAGTTAAGATTTTCTGATTAAGAGACATAAATCACATTTTCACAAGCAGAATGCTGGGTGATTTCCTTGATGGCCCGGGGAATGTTTTCAGCAAGCCCAACTTCTAAATAGTATTGTTGCCTAAATGTGTAACAGCCTGATTAAAGACGAGGAAACTCCAGAAGATCCGTGTGACGAACGTTCAGCAAAACAGACAGTTCTGTTCAAAGATAAAGGTAAAAAGAAAACAGCGCCATGTGTGCTGCTGGAGTGGAACCGAGAATGTTCTGGAGGGCAGAGAGGACGTTTTGTTTTGTTAGTTCTCTGCTGCCTGGTGGTATGTCTGACTTTATCAATTAAACCCTCCCAAATGGACATTTATCTTACAAATCTGTAAGGCAACTGCAATTTTTCTGAGAAGCTGTGCCGGAGGTAGTCTAGGCTTCTCTTTGTTTGCTGTGATGTGGAAAGTATACACATGGGATCTCTGCCTATGGATGGGATGGGGGAAGTATTCTCCAGTGGGGAAAACCTGGTGTCTAAAAATGAACCGCAAGACATTTTCCTGAAATAGTCAAGTTCAACCCTCCATTCCCTGAAAGGAAGCATGCTTTTCAGGCAAGAGACCATCTGTTCCAAGTGTTTAGAGAACACTCTCCATCCCTGGGAATTTAAACTTCCTTACACCCGGTTCAATGTTTGATAAGGAAAGGGCGCTAACAAGATGGGATGAGTTACTATATTAAGAAATCCAGGCGAAACAGAAACCAGCCCCCAAAGTTATTTTGTTTATGCTCCGTCTGTTTTAATTAACATAATATTTACATGGGACCCGATTCTGTTCTGCCTTTTTTTTTTTTGCTGCAACCATCTTATGTTTTATGTTTTTCCTTCTTTCTTTTTTGAAGGTTTTGCAAAAATACAATTACAAAAGCCTGTGAGGTTCAGAGATGGACTCAAAGCATAATGTCCCAGGGCCCCCTTCTTGATGCAGTATGAGGTCAGACATCAGTTCCACAGGCTGGTTAGCGAAACTTAAACCTAAGATAAATAATATGATTTTACTATAAACAGTTCTCAAATATTGTACAAGACGTTCTTACTCTAAAAGTCTTTGGTGTTTACCTCAAGTTCAGACTTAATTGCACGCTTTTGTTTGTAGGATCTGGCAGCCTGTACATGACAGCTCAGTAGGTTACAGGATGGGGAGAGAGGTTTGCCTGTGCATCCCTGAAGGGGCTGCTCAGAGGACCCAGTCAGGGCTCATGGCTGAAGAACTGCACCTGCCCCATCACAGGCATTCCTAACACTTTGCCAGGTCATTTCATGGCGTCATCCGAGCCTCTGTCTTCTTAGTGAATTCTTTGGAAACTTGCAGGCCCATGACCTGAGGGCTGGTTTTTGACCCCTGAAATGATCCGCCCAGATTTTTGTGTACTAATGTTCAAATCTTGCCTCTAAGAGTATCTCACTCATTATTGCTACCGTTGCAGTGTGACAAACCACATGCAGGAAGCTCTTTGGGTGATGACAACTGTTTATTCTGATCATAAATCTTGGGTTGACTCAGTTGTAAGATACCCTTGGTCTGATGGTGGCAGGGATACCATCAAGGCAAAGGCACCTGGGACACAGCCTTGTGGGTCTCCATTTTCTCTCACCTTGGGGCTGCCAAAACGCTCCCAGAGTGCGTTTTCTACCCTCAAATGTGCCCTCCCTTTCAACATCCCTTTGGGCAAATGTGAGTCACTAACCGGTTCAGACTGCAGTGGGACACGGAGGCTCTGCCGCCTGCTGACAGACAGGCATGCTGCTAAATTCTCAGATGAATGCATCAGGCACGTTGGTCACATGTGAGTTTGTTGCTATGACTGAGTTTAAGGAGTGACCTAAGGTCCCTCCATTTTTCCACCAGTCCAGGTCACAGACCTCTGCTGATCCCAGAGTTCCTGGACCTCTCCTCTGAAGCCCTCACTACATCTGACCTGATGGACAGCTGCCCACCCCCCACCCAGCCCCATTTTAACAGCCAGCTAAGTAAACTAAGATACATCAGATGTGAGCTAGCCGTCACTACAATCAACTTTTATGGAATATTTGATGCATGAAAAATATTTTCTAATAGCACAATCGTTTTCCTTAAGTCACGTCATTTTTAGTTTTTAAATACTTAGTAACCCAAAATACCTTACACATTCAAGCCAGAGATATAGACCCTTGCAGCCCCCACCCCCTTTTGCATATTTTAAATCCATATCTATTGCGTTTCCTTTTGGAGCTACCTAACAACAACAATAAACATAACCTATCTGAAGTTACCTTACCAATGAGTGGAAGTATCAATGCTAACACTAGATTTCTTAGCATCTAATACAAGGCCTCAGTGTCATTCAAACAACGTGTTTCAGTGAAGTTTTACTCTGACATCTGCCCAATGCCTTATTTTTTTTTTTACAAGACCTAAAACAAAGAACTCCAGATTCTATGTACTGCATTTAGAGTTTTCCAGACTTTGATGAACATGCTTGAACAAATGCCAGGTATCAACATGAATCCAGCTACACGTTGCTCTACGTAAGAGCCACACAGTGTGTCTGGATGCCATCTGCTTGAGGAGCTGCAAAGCGAAGGGCACAGTGCTTTTGAGACAGCCCAGGATGTGGTGTTGAAAAGCTGTGTGCAGAGAAAGCAAAGACGGAAAGCTGCGTGTCCCCCAGAACCTACAGTAACCCAGTCCCATGATCTGCCACCTTTGGTTTGTTGTGGTTCGCCATGACAACTTCTTATCTCTGATGGATGTTTTTGGATCCAGAGCTGACACTTGAGGAAGTGGCTCCACTTGACTAGCTTAACAAATGGGGACTGGATATGAAAAGCCAGCAATGGAGGAATAGATTTCTGTAGGGCAGATACAGTGGGTGCATTGTAACCAGGGTTTCAAGGCCATCCAAGTGATACCAAAATACGGCATTGATGGAAATCTGATTACTACAAAGTAATAATCACATCCACTCATCAGACCTGTAGCTGACTCAAATGCATCAACGTTCTCACTTTGGATATTACACAGACTCTTAAAATTAGTGAGTGGAGAGTAGAACTAGATGCCACCAGCTAACTCCTGCTCCTAAGTGACTGTCAGACCAATGTGAGGTCCTGTTGTCAAACTGGGCTCTTCTCTGCTGCTGCTCTGAGACTGCACGGTTGTCTTCCTGCCATCAATACAGCTTTTACCTCTTCTTAGACCATCAAAGGATCTGGGGCTCTATGGGCTGTCAGAATAGGCAACCCCAGGAACCAGGCAGGCAATAGAAGCGAGGAAGCCTGTGGCTGTGGTCCCTAGAGAGCTCGGGTGTGCAATTCAGCCAAATGCCAAGATCTGAAGTAGGAATAGAAGATTTAAAAGTTGAGACGTTTTCAATCTGATTCCAGAAAGTAGAATTCTGCAATGAACAAGAGTGAAAATCTGAGAGCTCAGTTTGAATTCCAAGTCTTCCTTTCCATCTGGGTCTGGGGTGAGCACTGGGAGAGCACCCCCCGGCCCCCCGCCTGCTGACTTATCTCAGTTGTTCACACTCACCTCTTAATTTTGATGCTATATATCAAACTGCATGGTTTCTTCTTTCCCCAGCTTTTAAGCTATGATGAAGCACACCTGGTTGAATTTGCTATCCTAATCATTTGTAGGTGTGCGGTCAATGATGTTAAACACAATCATAAAGAGAACCATCATCTCTGTCCTCAATAACTTTACTTACTTTGTGAAACAAAAATTATACGCCCATTAGATGATATCTCTTCAGGTTCTGCTTTACCCAATTGCTGTAGTACACCATTCTATTTCCTGGCACTGAAGGTTAACTATTATTCTCTCTCTCTCTCTCTCTCTCTCTCTCTCTCTCTCTCTCTCTCTCTCTCTCTCTCTCTCTCTCTCTCTCTCTCTCTCTCTCTCTCTCTCTCTCTCTCTCTGTGTGTGTGTGTGTATGTAGTGTATGTGTGCACATGTGTGCTTGCACGTGGAGACAAAGATAGAGCGACCTTGTTACTTATAGATCACTCACAGAGCCAACATCTTATTCACGTGTCTAAACTGACTTCTGGGATCTGCCTGTTCCCTTCCCTCTCCCTCAGTGCAGTGATTACAGACATGTGGGGTGCGGGGATCTGAACTCAGATTCTCATGCTTGCCCAGCAAGGACTTTACTAATAGAGCCGTCTCTCCACCCCTGTTTAGACTGCACCAAGTTCTTCATATAAATGTGACCGCACAGGGTTTTGTTTCTAGTAATGTCTTCAAAGCTCATTCGTGTAGTTCCCAGCACGTCGGAATTCCAATCCTTTTCAGGTCTAAACCACATTTGTATACTTCACTCTCTACTACCCATTCATCTTCTGATGGGCACTTGGGTTACTTTCATATTTTACTTATTATAAGTCATGGTGCTATAAACATGAGCTTACAAATATTTCTTTAAGACCCTGCTTCCAATTCTTTTGAATATATATCCAGAAGTGAATTGATGGATCACACAGTAGTACTTTTATTTTCAGTGTTATGAAGAGCTGTGTCTTAGTTTGGGTTTCTATTGCTGTGAAGAGACACCATGACTACAGCAACTCTTACAGAGGAGGACATTTAAGTGAGACTTGCTCGCAGTTCAGAGGTTTATCATTGTGGCAGGAAGTGTGGTGGCGCACAGGTAAACATGGTGTTGGAGAGATAGCTGAGAGTTCTAAGTCCGAATTGGGAGGCAGCAGGAAGAGAACGAGACGCTGGGCCTAGCTTAAACATTTGAGACCTCAAAGCCCATCCCCAGTGTCATACTTCCTCCAACAAGGCTACACCTACTCCAACGAGGTCACACCTCCTAACAGTGCCACTCCCTATGAGCCTGTGGGGCCATTTCCATTCAAGTCACTACAAGCTGTAATGACATTTGTACATTTTCATTTTCATCAACAGTGCAGAAGATTTTCTCTGTAAACTCCTGCCAACACTTATTTTATTTCATTTTCAAGATTATAATAACCCTAATAATTGTGAAGTAAAATCTTACTGTGTTGATATGTATTTCTTCTAGTTTCATTCACTTTCTTGCAAACAGTGTAACTATTCTTCTCTGAGGTTGAGTGTCTTATTTGGGGTTATTGTTGCTGTGATGGAATACCATGACCAAGACAACCTGGGGAGGAAAGCGTTTATTTCAGCTTGCACTTCCTGATGACAGTTCATCCTGAGGAAACTCAAGGCCAGGAACCTGGAGGCAGGAGCTGATGCAGAGACCATGGAGGGCTGCTGCTTACTGGCTTGCTCAGCCTGCTGTCTTATAGAACCCAGGACTACCTGCCCAGGGACAGCACCACTCACCATTGGCTGGGCCCTCCCCCATCAATCACTAATTAAAAAACTGCCTTACAGCTGAATCTTAAAGGGGCATTTTCTCAATTGAAGTTCCCTCCCTTCAGATAACTCTAGTTTGTGTCAAGTTGATGTGAGACTAGCCAGCACATTGAGGAAACATCTATCGGCTGATTTACTTGCATGGTCTGCTGTGGCTGTGGTGAACTGTGCCCCTCCCGCTGTCATAGCTCATGCCTCTGCTAGATTCTTAGCTGGCAATCAGGCACGGAGTGGATTTTTCCTGACACCCCCACCCCATTCTAGGCATTTTGTTTGTGCTTCACATCGCGATGTGCTATTAATAGCATCCTTGAAGCCCCTAGTGAATCTGCTGAGATCCTTAATTCTTGCCCTGCTCCTACTCCTAACATGAGGGGGGCTTCCTTTAACTAGGCACACCACTTCCATGGGTTTTGAGCTAGTTTGTGTATTGGAATTGTCTGAGGAAGAGTTTCCTTTTCTTTTTCCAATGCTTTAAAATCATGTTTTATATGATTGCATCTTTTCCCCCGTCCCTCCTCCCTCTAACCCTTCTGTCTTCCCTCACTTTACTCTGAGGAGAATGTTCAGAGTGGACTGCTGGTCATACAAGGAAAATCCCTCAATCAAGGACATATGACACAGGGCAGGAAGTTCTTAAGCATTTTATTCTCAGGATTCTTTTAACTGTTAAAAATTCAAAGTACTCATCTTGAAGACTTCACATTTATGAGGAGTATTTCCTTTGATATTTATTATGCCAAGAGCTGAAAAATTTAAATGTACTTGTTAATGTACAAATTAATTGCACATATATATAAATAATTCAGTTTGGAAACATAAAATATTCAAAAAAAGTTGCTATAAAGATCCGCATTGCTTCAGGATTTTGCAAATCTCGGAAATGTCTGGCTGGGAGACAATTCCTCTCTCCCAGCTGCTGTAGCAGCCAACACACCCCAGTCAGTTATTTTCAATACAGTATATGAAGAAAATTTGGCTTTGTATAAATTTGCAGCTGACAAAAGGAAATATTTTAGTGGTCTGCTTAGTTAACTTCATATATTTCTCAATGATAGACTGAAACTTAGTGAACAACAGCTCCTCAAATGCTAACTGCAAGATGGAATCTTAAAACTCAGGATGCATTCTTGGCATTTGTTACAATAAAGCCCATTCATCCTTTTGTAATACTTAACTCAGGCATGATTCCAAAACAGCAAGTATTTGACGCTTGCATAATGGTCTACTTATAGGCAGTCTAAACATTGACATATTTCATTATTATCATCACATGCCATGGGAAGTCTGGAACATTCCACTGCCGAATCTGTGAGAGAATGAAAGTGATAAAAGCAAATGATTTGAAACAAAATTAAATGTGAATCTGTGGATCTTCCCATACAACAAAAGAGCCCTTTCTTGGTAAAAGAGGGTCTGGTGCAGCTGCAGGCTGCGCACTGAGCTAAGCAATCCTGCAGAGACTCTGCATTTCCCTGTAGTTTGGCTTCCAATCCTTAAGCGGATGTTTTAAACTTGAATCTACATTTACCTACAGGAACAAGGTTGGCATTTGAGACAGACAAAGATGCCATGATGAATGGTCACCCAGGTTGTCTGGTTTTCAATGTCCTCAGTCTCCTTTGGCAAGTACCACCCACCCAACGCCCACCACCCACCATGGGACAAACCCAGAACCCTTGAGGGAAACGTTGGAAAGCAATATTGTCTTTCCTTGTAACCTAGCAGATCCACGCTTATATCATTGCATACTTCTGAAGACGGTGCCATTAAAGTTGGGAAAATGACAGTTTCTCACATTGTAGAGTGTATTTTGAATTTCTTCTTTTTCCTCTGCGTTTATCTATTTAGGTGTTGTTGGTGTCCCTAAATATATTTGATGTGGACAATCGTTTGTGACCTCATGGGAAGTAGCAAAATTGAAAGAACTAGAAGTGGGATTGAGAAGGGAAAATGAGAGGAAACAACCCTCAGTCTCCTGGCCACAGAATTACAAACCGAGGATTCTTGAAACTTCTAGCAAATGACAGTATTTTTCCCAAAGTCTTACCAAGCTTATCTTGTCAGAGGGGTGGAGAGGAAGAGCGAGAGTCACCACCAGTCCCCAAGCTTCAGGAACCTTACAGATGGCCACACTGCCTTGGCTCATTTTGTCTTTCCTGTTCTGAGATGTGAAGCTAAGTGAAGGGTCCTAGCTGCTCTACTTGTCAAAATAACACAAGTGTCAGCCTCTCGGGCAATTGTGAGGATTACTGGTGATAATCCTCGTGGGCAATTGTGAGGATTAATGGTGATAGTCCTCGTGGGCAATTGCGAGGATTACTGGTGATAATCCTCGATGGAAGTGTATGAAGGTAGTGAGGGACCACAGTAGCCACCTCACAGCAGCACCAACGCTGGAAGCCCGCTCCTTCCTCTGGAGGTTCTGGCTGCCTCTGATTCATGTCCACTTTTCCCTGTGACATATTTTTATTCTTTTCCCCACAGAAAATGGCTTAGTTGGAAGCTGACTTTATTGGACATTTATTTATCTGTTTTTGACAAGGTCTTGTGTAGACTAGACAGACCTCAAACTCACTATAGAGCTGGAGATGACCTTGAACTTCTGAGCTCTGGCCTCCATCTCCCAAGGGCTGAGGTTATACATGTGTGGCACCATACCTGCTTCCTGTAGTGTTGAGGATGGAATCAGGGATTCATGCGTGCCAGGCAGGTATTCTACCCAACTGAACTAGTGATATCTCCAACGTGATTGTTGGTTTTAATGGACAAGGTTCATCAGACAGCCCTGGGGGGTTTCAGGGAGCTCCTTCTGGACACCTCTGGTGGCATCAAAGACATTTCCCAGTTCTCAGAGAAGGCAGCCTGGAGGGGAGCAGATAGGTTTGAAATGGTCTTCTTTGGCAGTGAAAGTCCCATAGAAAGAGACCCAAGTGAAATTTCTGCTATTTTTGCCTTTCCAATGACTGTTGGGCCACTTCTTGTCGCTCTCTGTTGATGTGAACAGCTATTATCTGCTGTATGTTCCTGTCACCACAATGTTTGGATCCTCCAGAAAGCAAGTTTGGTTCATAGTCCCATTCTGTTCCTTGTGGACACCCGAGACTCTTTACTTTCAGACTGTCGAAAGAAAGAGTGACGGAGACAAGAAGCATGGTGCCACCTCTGGGCTCATCGTGGACCTGTGTGTGACTTGGCTCCCAGCTAACCCACATACAGAGAGAAAATCGGGACAGCTGTGGCTATTCCTTTAGCACTGCACAGACGACAGGGAGTGACTGGTCCTGGTCTCTCACTCCTCTTCCTCAGCTGTTTTGGTGTTCAACGCTTTTCCTCAGGACTCCACCAGGACCAGTTTAAGAGGGTTACGGGTGTTTGCTAGGTGATTTTAGGGTATTTTCTCATCCTGTGATTTTGCAGATGTCCTAGGTGCGGCTTTGGAATCCATCTAGTTTTGCCCTCAAGAGGCTGATTGGATCTCTGAGAGCAGGAAACATATTCCCAGCGCGATGACTGGGAACCGCTAAAGCTTGAGCTAACTATTGAAGTCAGAACCCACACGTTCTCTGGGAAACAAGTCACGGGGATCACTTGGAGCATTCAGTTAAACCTTTGGTTTTGCCCTAAGTCTGAAGATACTGAAGACAGTTATCGTACGCCACTGCATGCCCAGCACAGTGTTGGGACAATAGGAGCCAATAACTTCTGCTCAATGGATAAATAAATGGCTATTAAAGAATAAAATATGACATTTCCTCAAAAATGTTACCCTGCAAAGGACTCCAGTGGCATTAGAATGACATCAGTGAGAGTATCTGGGATAATTATGCTGGCACTAAAACTAGCGAGTGGCCTCAAAGAAGTTGTTGGCATTAGGTCAAGGCGTCTCATTGGGAAACCCTTCTGCTTATTTCCAGTGTCCAGTGTATTTGAAATTGTTTGAGTGAGGAAGCTGAATCACCTGGTCCTCTCTCTGAGACAGGATTCTTTTTTTTTTAATTTTTTTTTTTTGGTTTTACGAGACTGGGTTTCTCTGTATTGTTTTGGAGGCTGTCGGTCCAGCCTGGCCTCAAACTCACAGAAATCCGCCTGCCTCTGCCTCCCGAGTGCTGGGACTAAAGGCGTGTGCCACCACCACCCGGACAGGATTCTTTCTTTCCCTTCCCTAGTGTAGGAATTCTAGACCTGTACTATCTTTTCTGTATCCACGGGGACAGACTCTCTGAACCCCCAGGCTGGGTCAGTCTGGGGTACATGCTCCTCTGCACCCTTCCACTCTGACACGCCACGCACTAGACCCAAGTCTGTCTTCCCAGATACACACTAAGCTTCTCGTACTGCCTAAGTAATGTTCCTATTACCTCGTCAAGGTCTTTAACATACTGTTCCCCTAAAACAGAACTGAATTAATTTCCCAAGTTAGTCAGAATGGTGGAGATGCCTACTATCATAGAAGTAGTCCCTCTCATCATGGGAAACTGGACAGTGTTTCCCACCTACCCGCCTTCCAGACAGTTGCAGGCCAGTGAGTCTTCAGACCCAGCAGCACTCGCTGTGACTCGGGGTCTCTGTCCATCTCTTTCCTAGAATTTCCAGATTTCCTGGATGGGAGAGAAGGAAGGTGGGCAGAATAAAGGGAAGTAAAGATCTTGTCTGAAGCAATATACATGGCCAGGGTCTGGAAAGAATGCATTCAAGAAATATCCAGAAGCAAATCTTGCTGGCTTCAAGAAGAAGTGGATTTCATTGGAACAAAGATCAGGGTGTGTAGCTTCCTAGAGGTTCCGAATGGAGAGTCTATTGACCAAGATTGATGAATGGCGACACATGGTCAGACTGTGGATCTGAAGTTTCCCCCTACAGGGTCATATTTTAAGTGCTTGTCCTATAGCTGGTGGCACTCTTTTTGCAGAATTTCTGTTAACTTCCTGCCTTCTTTACCCTCCCCAAGTGATCCAAGCAGGTGCTCTGTAGTTCAAAGTCTACAGACTGTGCCCGGGAGACTATCTCCAACTCCTCCAGAGCATCGCTGGCCATCTGTGCGGCCCATTTCATTAACGGGTATCGCAGATCCTTTGTGTTTTCATGTTCTGGGGCCCTTATCCATTTGTAGAACCCAAAAGCCCCATGTGGTTTCTCAGGAAAAATAAGATCCCCTTCTCTGCATTGTATGGAAGGTGGCATGTATATCCCAGAGAGAACACAAAGGGTTACACAGTGACTGTGCCACCACAGCAAGAGGTGATGAGACAGAATAAAAATGATTAAGATAAAAATAAAAAATAGTATCTAACACTTACTAAGTTCTTAGTAAGTGCCAGGCAGCGCTCCAAGGGTGACACCTTGCTTAATCCTCATGACAGCTTTATGAAGTGGGTAAAACAGATTCCCTGTTTATTGGCGATTCTCTGCTAAGAGATCTCAATTTAGTTCATCCCCATGGCAGGGCAAAGGAACCAAGATTAAACGCACAAACTTACCGACTCTGAGGGGGAGGCTGGGAAACGGGTTTTGAGACCAGTGAGGGAGAATTAAGAAACTGAAGTTGAGAAAGACTGGGGGTACAGCTGAAGGGGTAGCTGAGGGGAAACTGAGGGTATAAAGGGTGTGGCTGAGGGAGTAGAGGGTATAGCCGAGGGTGCAGCTGAGTTGGTGGACTACTTACCTAGCACGCCAGAATTCCTAAGTTCAGTCCCAGCATCACATTAAACCAGGTGTGGTGGTGCATGCCTGTAATAACCACACTCCAGAGGTGAAGGCAAGAGGATCAGGAGTTCAAGGTCAACTTCTGTTACCTAGTGAGTTCAAGGTCAGCCTTGGATACATGAGATTCAGTCTCTAAAAAAATGTTATTTCTATGGGGTGCCCCTAAGTATGGAAGCAAGACAGGGATTCTGTCGTTTAGAAATGGATGTGTCTCTTCACACTGTCTCCAATACTGCACAGACTACAGGCAGTGAGATCCTGGTCCAGGGCACAGTAAATCACATTAGAATAAAGGCCAGGAGTTTCTGTTTGACAATGTCACCCAGAGTAACCACCTAGCCGCTGTGAATCCCTGCCTGACTCTATAACTCTTCTACCCACTGCCGTGTGGAGTGGAACCAAAGCATGAGCGAGTGGCTCAGAGGAGGAGCAGATGAGAGAGGGATGTCACCAGAGAGATGTCACCAGAGAGATGTCACCAGAGAGATGCCACTTACAAACATTCTAGGCATCCTCTTTCCCAGTCTCTCTTCTCTTGCCCTTTGCCCCTTTCCCTCTCTCTCTGTCTCTCTTTCCTCCCCCTCCCACACTCCCCCACCTTAGTAAACTCCATGTGGTTCACGAATCTCTAGGCTCATGTTCCAATTGCGATCGCCTGATGCAAACTTAAGCAAAAGAACAACATTTGGTGCACGTGACTCAGAAGGTTTTCCTGCCATTTACTCCTGCCTGTGGCAGTCTGAGATATGCCGGGACTCTGTAAACTTCAACTCGGTCACTTTTGCTACTATGTAACTCTGGATTCTTCCATCCACCACTGCCAGGTCAACAGCTGGCCCCGCCCCATTTCCTCCAAGAAGACTGGTGGGCACTGAAGAAACTCCACCCACAAAAGTGGTAACACTAGCCACTGAGCAATCCTGTCTTTCACCTCAACCACTGCAAAGGGCTCTTTGGATCAGGGGCAAGAGGACAGTGGAATTGACTTTCTCCACGTTGCTTGAGCCAGCGGTCTAAGGGGCACCAGAGTTCCATTCAGTTAGGACGGCAATGGAGCAACTAGCTACCCCAGGACGTGGCAGCACCCCACCTTTGTCACATCCCCCAAAGATGGTCAACAAGCCCATGTCAGCAAGAAATAGTCTTGCGAACTCAATGCTCTTATTCCCTAACCTGCCACGACTAACTCAGACACATTTTTAATAATAATAAGATGTGAGGTTGTTGGAACCTGGTATTATGCTGACCCCGCCCCCTGACAATGGGTGGGGCATGCATATCGGCATTCAGGCAGATACTTAGGCATCTCAAAGGGCCCCGTGTTGTGTGGTCACATCACTCGCTATGGGGCTGCATAAGGACTCAGTACACATGTGCAATTTTCCCCTTTTAAGTGAGCACCTCCACATGTTTGCCCCTTCCTCTTTCCCGCTCTCTCTCTTCTTGCTCTCTCACCCTTCCTCTCTCTCTCTCTCTCTCTCTCTCTCTCTCTCTCTCTCTCTCTCTCTCTCTCTCTCTCTGTCTTCTCCCCACCTCCCCTCTCCCCCCTTTAATAAACTCCATGTGGTTAATGAAAAAAAATTCCCAATAGAGAGATGCATCAGTCTACCCAAGGGGAAAAATGTCAAACACTTGTGCTAGATTTAAGGGCATGTACCTGTTCGAGGCTGTGAAGTGAGCTCAGGGCATTTAGTGTCTACCTCTGCCACCTGGGTGTCTAGTCAGTCTTCTTTGAGCCCTCTGTGAGCTGGTTCCATATGGCTGGACCAGCGGTGGCCCTGAACTGATTGATGGTTCTGCTTGGTGCACCTCATCGCCTCTGCTCTGATTCTCTGAGAGGTCCTGTCATCTTCCACATACAGGGTTAGCTCTCCAGCATCACCCTCTCCCAGCAGCCCCTTTATCAGCTCCAGGAGATCCGTTTCCGGGGGTCTCTGTCACAGCTCAGATGATCTGGAGGCATGTATACTTCAGTAACTTAGGCCTAGGTAACTTAGTAGCTGTTTGACAGGACACGTAGAAACTGAAAGAAAAACAATGCTTTTATAATCCCATCTGTAAATAATCACAATCACTCATGGGCTGTGAGCTCTTGTTGCATCCTGTGTGATTTCTCAGACCTAGAAATTAGACTAAGCATTGCTGCTCTTGTTTTCTGTCCGTCTTGCTTTGTGTGTGGTGTTTGCTGCCTGTGACTGGAAGGAACTGCAGATGACCTCATACCCAAGCTATAAGAAGCTACAGCTGGCAGAAAGTTCTGGGCTTCTGTGGGTGCCAAAGACCCCTGTATTTCCCCCAGAAGTGTAAGATATAGAGCTGGTGAGATGACTCAGTAGGTACAAGTGCTTGCCATGCGTGCATGGTGACCTGAGTTCGCTCTTCTGGTCCCACCGTGGAAGGAGTGAACTGATAACTGGAAGCTGCCCTTTGACCTCCACACGTGTTCTGTGGAACATATGCTCAATTTTAAAATGTAATGTAAGCTAGCACTATGCCCCTGTAAGTTTGCTTTGACACACAGTTTGGAAATCTCCAGAGCTGTTAATTTCCATGTGTCTAGAGTTCTCTAAAGTACTGGATCTAATGCAGTGACACGGACAGACACATTCTGTGCCTCTTAGGTCTTATAGGTAAGCAGATGAGACCAGCATTAACAAGATGATCTTTCTATTAAACACAGCTGTGTTCCTGTTCTTCACACTTGTGTTTAGGGAAGGAAAGGTGAGCAGTGACTTCAGAAGCCTATGCCAAACTAGCTGTCAGGTCACAGGACCCCCAGCGCTCAAACCCTGGGGAGTTGTCACTGACCTCTGATCCAGAAGGACAGATAGATAGATATCCTGGCTCTGCACTCCAGGGCGTAGCCAGCATGCCGCACGGGCAAAGGGCTCCCTCTAGTGGCAGCAGTAGTTTTTAGCTTAAGCAATTCTATAGGGACAGCTATAAATATTGGTCATTTCTGTGGATTTTTGGGGAACAATGGCTACCTTTCCTCCTTTATGAAAGTCTCTTCATTGTCGGATCTTCAAAGACTCATGTCTAGGACAGAAATGTAACGTCAATTGATTCTTTTCATACCACCTTTACATACATTCACAGGCACATGCACCTACTCCTTCCTTCCCCCATAGCCCTCAACCCTCCGGCACCACCCCGTTGTTCCGTTCCTGGTTCTCCCACTCTTCGCCGGCAGGGAGATGTGAGCAGGGCTGGGAGGTGTGAAGAGAAGGGATCACACAGAGCGCTCTCTGCCCTCCTTCCGGGGCGACGTTTTCCCCTTTGCCACATGAGGAAGGAGACTGCTGGGCCTTCCTTGGGTGTGATCAGCAGATCCACTCTGGAGCCGAGGCACCACATCTGCCTTCCACTTAGGACAGATATGCACTGATGCGTGCCAGGCTCGGTTCTGTGAGGGAGAGGAAGCCCAACTGGGCAGAGGGGGCAAGGAGAAGTGGGGGTGTGGCTGGAGACGAGGATTTACTGTAATTATTCTGTACTGTGTGCAGGCAGGGTCGTCTACACCCGACAGCACTGACGTGTGAGTCCTTGTCCCTCTCTCACGTGCCCTGTTTCTGACGTTGCTGTTCTGTTGTCTCAGCACCAGTGGGAAAAGGGTGGGGGGAGGCATTGCTAGGCGTGAGCCACCAACACCCGGCACTTTTTTCACTTTGAATAACGGGCCACAGCCAAAGGCGGGCAGTGTTAGCTGTAGCTAAGAAAACAAACAGAGAATAATAACAGAGGCCTCTCTAAAGAGTAAACTCATTTTCATTTTGGTGAAGTAAAATAATAATAGTAATAATGATATAAATGAATAATCTTGACTATTTGATATACAGATCCATACTCCTGAGGTCATCCCACAGTAGGAACCCTCTGCTCTAGGCTTTCCAGACATAGTTTGGGCCATTGGAGGGTTAGCCAGCATAAGTCCTGCTCACGCAGCCATGTGCCATGAGAGAGAATCACCTGCTTCAACCAACAGGTGTCCGTTCCTAATTCCTTTTTCTTTGTTGTTGTTATTTTATTTATCCATCTATCTATTTATTTATATATTTTATGTGTATGGGGGTTTTGATCACATGAAGGTACATGTGTGTATGCCTGGTGCCCTCAGGTCAGAGGAGGGTGTCAGATCCCCTGGAACTGGAGTTACAGATGTTTGTGAGCCACTGTGGGGATGCTGGGTCCTCTGGAAGTGCTCTTAGTCACTGAGCTAACTCTCCAGCCACCCTTTACTAATTCTTATGAAAGTGTTTGATAGATTGTCAATATCCTTGCTCAATTTTTTGTTTTCCTTTTTCTTTATTTGAACATAAATTTCTCGCCAATTTTGTTTTCATAAATACACCTCATGGTTTTGATTCAGGCTCTAACAGCCCAGCCTCCGCAAAGAGTCCTCATTGAGTTAGTACTTGAGAGTTAAGTGTCATGCTCTGCGCATGTCTCAGAACTAACCAATCATCTGACCAGGCAGGTTAGCCACATAGAAAACAAAGACCTGAGGCCTTGGCCTAGCTCTGGCCTGGGGTCCTGAGATGTCACACACCTTAAATGTCTCCTTTGGACCTCGTCATGCACTGGAAGATTCCAGTTCACTCTCCCCACAGTCCGTTGAGTACAGCACGTGCTCACAAGTGCCCCAGCACGCCATCTTCTACTTATTTGCTGAGGACAGCAGCACTTCCTCTCAGATATCTGGTCCATCTTAGGAGGTGATCCTGCTTCCCAGTCATCAGGAGCATGGAGAAATGAAGTGGAGTTGACTGTCCCTGCCACACATCTCAGAGCCTCAAGCCTCAGTCTTTGTCTCTGGCTTTTTCATTGACTTCACAAACTCCTTGACTTCTTCTTCCAAGACCTTGTTCCTCCTCTCAACGTCCTCCCGGGAGCGCTCCACATTCCGAAGGCTGATTTCCAGGGCTGCAGACTTCTTCTTCTCCATCTCCAGCTCTTCGTTGAGTCTCACCACCTTAGCCCAGACATCGTAGTTTTCCTTCTCCAGGCTGCAAGGCAAATCAGAGGAACACCAGAGTATTAATTCTGAACCCTTCCTTCGCAACCCTTTACCCACGTTCACAAGCTCTTGTTCATTTGCCTTTCTGAGACATTCAATGCCAATTGGTGAAGTGCCAATCTAGCCATTGCCTTTGTTCCAGGAGAAGACCTGAATTCCCAAGGCACTTCAGGGCCTCACTTAACCCGCTGGTGACATCTCTAGTGCTGTTGTGTTTCAAGTCCCTTTATGTATTGTGTCCTATCTTTAACCAGACAAACTACTTGAAGGAAGGCACCACCTGTAACAGAGCTGTGTTTCCGTCTTGCAGCACCTGTGTTTGGCTAGTTCAGCTAAGGATACAAATGCTCTGTATTCTAGATCTGCAACATCTCTGTGCACATGGTAGCTCTTAACCTTGCTTCAGTGGACAGTCTGGGCCAGAACCTTTCCTAGCTAAGAACCCCCTGGGATCAAGATTGGGAAAAGCAAAGAGAAACATACTTTGGGGGCCAGGGGCTCTGGGGTCCCACTGTAATTCTAAATCCTTCTCTAGGTGATGAACTATAGGCTTCCTAGATTCCCATGACATTTGCTGCTCCTGGTTAAAATTCTACTGTAACACAGGTGCCCTGCCAAACTATGTGGAACTAAACCTTAGGAATGAATGAACATAGTCCGTTATCTAAGCATAAGGAGGAAATTCTGGTCTATGGGTGAAACATAGATTATGTGGTTGGAATTTGCTTCAGAATTTTATCCTTTGGGTGCTGCCTCTCTCCTCCCCAAGATCATTCTGTGAGTGCTTCATCCCTCATCCCAAGGTCATTCTGTGAGTGGTCCCTCCTCACAAGCTTGTTCTGTGACTGCTATTCCTCATCTGAGTAGCTTGCCTGTGCTCATCTGCAGGCATAAGTTGCCATCTAAGCCCATGTCTTGGGTTCTGTGTTTAAGAGCTGTGGCTGTCTCTATGTGGAACACTCCCCTCAGAGCCTTGCCTGCTCCTTTGTCTTTCTCTTCCTACAGTATTTTTTCTCATTCCTTTAGACCCTTGCATTCCAAATTCGGTGTTCTTTTCCAGCTTCCCATTCCTTCTGGCTTAGAGAGAACATGAGTGAGATCCTTCTGGCTTAGAGAGAACATGAGTGAGATCCTTCTGGCTTAGAGAGAACATGAGTGAGATGCTGCGCTGGACCTTGACACTGATTGCAGTAGAGAGTAGAATCGACAGGACTTGAGAGCCAGACTGACCTGGGTTCAAGGTTCAAACCCAGCTCCACAACAATCAACTGTATGGCCTTCAAGAATTCTTTGATACTTCTGGGGCTCCCAATTCTTCTGATAAATGGGGTGCTCCTATGTGGATTCAATTAGAAGGCTCTGTCAAGTTGCTAATTCTCCTGCCTCCATCATGGATGGGCTAACAGGTGTCTCAGAGACTGCTGTATCCAGGAGGACTAGACATCTCTATGGTCATTGGTCCTTTTCCTGCTCTTTAATTCAG